GCCAGATAATTAAGATGCAATCTATTTGGGTGACTTTATTCTACCTGAAGAAATGACAGCTAATACCTGGCTGGCAGAGAAGAGTATGCCATGGTTTATAGTCACTGCCCACATCAGCAGGAGCTGTCCAGTCTATCCAAAATATCAAATTTTATTTATGCTTTCTTTGGATAGAAAAGGGAATAACAAGACTACAATGCAAATATAACCACATAAGCACTTAGTTACAGTTGAAAACATGACTGTTTATATAGACATATAGCTACACAAGGAATAAGGCAAAAATTGTTCCTTTTCTTTGTCAGCAAGCATATACATTTGCAAATCATCTATGTTAATATGACTGATTATAGGTCAACACCTTCAAACTTGCAATGTGGATCCAACGATACAGAACATGCACATGTATACCAATGCATCTACTTCATATCAAAGTGCACACAAACATTTATAAACCAGATCATACATGCAATATGAGCAGATTCACAATTTCATAGTACCAGATAAATGCAGATATAAATGCATATGGATTGCACCAACATGGACCCTTTGTGTGAGCAGACATTGTATACACACACATAACCAAAGAGCTGTTCTCAGGAAACTTTTGTAATAAAGAGAATAAATAAAGAGCGTCTATTTACACATTGGAGTTTCTAACTGTCATTGCATGAATCATTTTTATATTGTAAAACAAAAAGAGGAAAAATCAATCCCTGACAGAAGAGGTTCAAAAAGCAGTGAAATCAATTATATTTTATTTCCAAATATCATTCGGAGAGGTTTATGCTCATTCAGGAAAGCTTGGTCTTGCCTGTGGGGCGGTGGGGGCAGGGGCAAAGACCCAGTTGGAAATGGTAATGGGGAAGACACTGAAAAGTTCAAGGCACAGGTCAGGGCTTGGGTCAGAAATGACACTTTCATCTTCTCTGGCAGTAGAAGAGAGGTGGGGAGGTTTCAAATGCCCTGATTCAAATAATGGCCACGAGGGCTATCCAATGTGACTTTTGTCACCTCATTGATTGCTAAGTTTGACTTGGTCAATTCACATTAAAACATAAATGTACATGAAAGCTGGGAGGAGGCTTAGAAAGTTCCTCTTTTCTTTGTCTAAAACAATGAGACAAAGAAGCTGAAAGAAGCTGTATGATTTCCCTCTTATGATCCTAAAGGAGGGTACAGAGTTTAGGACTGATTCCAGCAAGGTGTTTTCCAGGGTTACCTTTCTGCTTTGTTCATGAGGCATGCACCTTAAGACCATCTTATTCCATGGAAGAAGAGAGTTCTCATATTGCTTTATAAACATGTGAGTAAGTAGTGAATTCAGTCCAACTTGGTGATGTTTATTTTCAGACACCAGACAGAGGGCTGATAGCTGACCCGGTTCATCACTAGAGCCAGACTCAGGTAGCATGTGCTGAAGAATGATTTCTTATATGAACGTTCTCAATGACCATGAGATCTCTTTTATCCTAATGCATGTTAAGTTTATAGGGTCTTCCATAACCACAAATGGGATCCTGATAACATGGTAGAAAGGTGCTGGGGAAAAACATTGGAACATGGAAGAAATCTTCATAAGCAAATGAACTCAGTATAAAGTGAAAGGACAAAGGGGTGGAGACAGAGAGGTGACATTGAGAAAGTAAGAAACATTTAATACAAGCTTTCGATTCTTTATTTAAAAAGAAGAAAAATCTACTATATAAAATTAAACATGAGTGGCTGAGAAGGGTTAAATTAGTCAATACATTTGCAAATATCTTGTGCAACTGCTACACAAATACAAGAAAACTATTTTCCTGACGTACTCTCTGTGGTGTTAGCCCTTGCTGCTCACTAAGCTGAATTTGAAAGTCCTTTTGCAGCTCTCTAATAAGCTGCCTAAGAACCATGGGGATGGCCCATTTCTCTTATGTAATTTCCAGCATCTTCCTTTCTGTTTCTGGGATGTGACTCTAAGGGATGTCACTCAGGGCCATGTCTGCACAGCTTTTAGAATAAAACAATTTAACAAAATGATACAAATGAGATTTTCCTCTTATAGATTCACAAAATACAGAAACGTCTTCCAAGTTTTAAGAGTCCTTCAGAAAGGAATCTGCTTGGTTTTGATGGATACAGTACTTCCAAAATGTTGACACTAGTCTTCCTCTACCCACTGCTTTGTTGTGTTTTAATGCTGTATATCTTTTAACAGAACAACAACAACAACAACCTCAACAGTTTTCTCCATAGATCACAGCTCTATAATTTTGAGGATTCTTGTCCAAAGCCCTCACTCTACAACTTAGAGAACAAAATCTAAAGAAGAAATTAAGTTGACAAGACCAAATACATGATGAGGAAGATGATGATGGCAGTGTTTTTTGATTTCTGAGGCTTAAACCTAGAGCTTTGACCATACTAAACATGAGCCCAATTGCTGAGTTGTACACTCATCTCCACACTGCAGAATAACTGGAGAACCTCAATTCTTGATGCTTTTCTCTGGGTTACTCTATTAGACACTTCTCAGCACTGGATTTGCTCTGCTTTATCATGCCACCCTTTTTCTTATTTGCATGCACCTTTTTAAAACAAAATAACATTTATAAAATCACTCAATGTAGTTTCTGAAAACATTTCAAGCATTCAACAAATGCTAGCTCAGTGTAGTTTAAGGAGTTTTTCCAAGTAAATCACAAGCCCTTGGGAAAGTCTAAATTTTATATTCCTGCAGGATGTCACAATTGCACCCATAGACTCTACAGACAGTTTCCAGGCACTAGATACATGCTTTCTCATTTACTGATTGAAACAGAGGCAGCCACAATTCTCTGCCCACTGGAGGGAAGGAGGAAGTCTGCCATTAAAGCAATAAAACGAACCATTTCCCCTACAGAGTTAGTCTAACACTAATAAAAGCTGCGTCTTGCACTGTCATCCTCTCTCCCTATTATTCTCATATATTTCACACTGAATGTAAATGTCAGGATTCTTGATCTGTCTGCATGGTCAGGGAACGTACTGCTACTGAAGGAACACACATTATGGTTTCTAGCAAGGGAAACCTTGTCCTCAGAGACCCTTTCCTTCCTTCACGTGCAGGGTCATGTAGGGATCACAGAACAGAACAAACCAAGAAAGTAGGACCCAGTCTTGTTTTCCTGATTCCAACTCTTGCTTTAACTCTCAAAACTGTTGATTTTGAAGCCACTATTGTGCTATCTCTGCAAACTAAGTCTCCGAAACAAAATCATCATTTTGCCTATGCTGTCTTTTTATGAGCAGATGATGGAAAAAAAAATCTATTCTCAGAACCAGAAATACATGTGATTTATCCAAACCTGTGCATCAAAATTATCTGGAGATGCTATTTACCAATTTCTTCTAAATTGAAACATTACCTTCAGGGGAGAGAGGGAGGCTCATGGATTAAGAAGGTAAACAAAGGTTGAGTTTCTGAGTAAGTGAAGGTTTCTTGAAAGTCCCTCCCCAGCTTTATAAAAGGAGTATACAACTTTGAGGTTATGGATAAGACTCTGACCAGCTAAGCTGTAAGAAGAGATAACTTCTACATGCCTTCAAGATGTGCTAGGAGCTCCAGCATTTCAGGTTTCCTGAGTCATTATCCATGTTGAGGTGGGCTTTTGGTGATGATATATCAGCTTTTGAGTCAAACAGTTTCCTGTAAGTAACTTTCACACATATTCTTGCTAGAAACTATAATAAACCCATTGATTCATTGACTTGGGCTTTGGTGCAATGTTTAATTTGGTTTGTCATGGGGTTACTTTTCAAGGTAGTAGATATGTGAATGTTTTATGACCCTGGGAACAGTCTTTCATACAACAGAAGGGCTTAGTGAAAATGATATTTCTATGTTCTGGCCCCAAGGACTCTATCTCATTGGTGAGGGAAGGGTCCCAGACATCTTCATTTTTGATATATTTCTCAGTGATGCTGCTGATGCTGACCTAGGGACCACAGTTTCTTGAATATTCGTCCACACCCCAGTTGGATGGTGACTTATGTTCTCTTCTTGTATTGATGTGATGGTGATATGTTAACTCAATTTTCCAAAACAAAACTGAAGTAGAGCTTTATGTGGGAATAGTTTATTGGGACATGAATATAGGAATCACTATGATGAAGATCATGGTGAGAAATGGGAAACCAAGCAAGCAATCACTACTGCCCTCATCTTCCTTATGAACTACTTGGAGGTTATTGACATTCCCATTAAAAATTCAGAATTTACTATGTACAAGGAATTAGGGGGCCAGGATCAGAGTCCTCGTTCCAGACGTATTGAGAATAAATCCTTAAGAAATTACCTTTCTGATATTTCTATCCTGGCTTGTGCATGGCCTGAACACACTCAGAGCAATGCTGGTTTATCTTATCAACACAGTTTCCTGAGGCAGAAATCCAAGGAATATACAGGGCTAAACCTATATTTGCAGAAGACCTAATGATAGACAAATCACTGCGTTATTGTAATCTCACTGGAAAAGGTACAACACAGATCTTGTCAGGGAAGTCTGGCCAAGATATATTTTGTTGTTATTAAAAAGAAACTTGCATAAGTGAAATATTTTCTTTGGGTGTTGACATATCTGAATAGAATACTATTTATCTACCCATATTGTGAACAGATATAGCCTTATAAAGAAGCCACTGCCAAAGAAATCTGAGTCAGAAGATGAATAAAATGTAAATTGTTTCTTTAATGAAGTTATTGAGATACTAACACCCTACAACCAGAGCTGTGATTTATTTGGATTGTTTATCACGATAGAAGATAAACAATGCCATTGTTTAAGACAGTCTCAATTGGGGTTTTCTACCTCTAGTTCCTGAAGCCCATCGTATATTAATTTTTCAAAGTGCAAAGCAGAAATGATATAGACCACTCAAACTATAGTCTGAGTTCTAGAAGCAGCCTCTATTAGCTTAACAGAACTTCAGAATCATGGAAGTCACACAGTTCTACAGAATCAATATCTTCATGGAACATCAATATGGAACTCTTCATTTTGGTCAGGTTGAGGAACATTAGCCATTTTGAATGTTACCATCAGTGTATTACTGACACCTTGGTGCCTCCTTCTAATCCTCTTATTCACTGTTCCTTATTTAAAAATATAATTACATCAGCCTATGGAAATATATCCAGATCTGTAATTGATTGCTGGCTAATTAGTCTGGAAGGTAATTTTTCTGTAGGAGTTAGTTTTCCTAAATATTAATGAGCAATTAGAATTCTATTCTGAAAACAGACGACATTGAGTTGAGGGTGAGTAGAAGGAGGCGAAGAATAAAATTCAAGTAAACATGGTCCTTTATCACAGGTTACTTAGTATGTGCTCCTCTCTTTCTTGAAGGCTGATACCTAGTAATTTGAATGAAAGTAAATGAGTCTGCTCCAGGGTGACCCTCATAAACAAATGAGTCATCTAACTAGGAAAGGAAACAAACAAATACAGTTCTGTCAAAGAGAAGCAAGCAAATGTCAGGGTTTGTCATCACTAAGAAGAGGCCAGAATGTGACTTTAGCTTGAGATACCAAGGTATCTCACAATGTATCAGCACAATGTACTCCTAAGTATATGTCTAGAATTTCATAGTATAAAATGTGTTTCACTTAAAAATAATAGTTCCATGGTGAAATAAATTTTGAAATCTTTGGGAAATGGTCATAATGCACTCAGTGATTCTTCTTAAGTGTATTGACTGGAGGTAAATATTTAAAGTTTTAACTCTTTCTCCAGACCTCTGCTATAATTCCCTAACAGGAAACAGCTTTTACATTCCCCTCTAATTCCTCTGATTATGCAGTTTCTACTCAGTACAGAGTGTAGCATTTTACAAAATGCTAATAAATTTGGTCCCTTCTCCTGCTCAAAATGCATTCAGGAATTTTACATTTATGTATGTCCTAACATTGCCAAGAAACCATTCTTTAATGGCTATGCATTCTTTCTCTTATTTTTATTTTGCAGATTATAGTTCAATATTTCTTAAGTTTTCTCAAAAACTTTTTTACTACCTTTGTTTCTTAGAAAACCCTGTAAATATCGCTTAGAATAAGTAAGTCTCAATTCATAGTGATTTATCTATTTAAGTAATTAGCTATCTAATATTTGTCTTTTATCCTAGAAAATATCTAAAAGGGATTTCACAAGAACACTGTCTTATTTATCATATCCCAGTGTCTGGAGTATGACATGCATATGGGACAATTAGTAAATATTTATTTAATGCCTGAATATGTTGTGAATCAGTGGCAATGTACAAGTTTTCCTAAAAGCAATTTGAATATAGGGATTTTTTTCTTCCAGCCTAGACATAATATTCCATAACATGTTTTGAGAAATGCTTTTCTAAAGTCAATTCCACTCCTCCTAAGTGTGAAAAGAGGAATATATGTTATAACTACATTTCAAGCTATGACAGGCTGTGTGACCATGGGCAAAGTTATTTCAAGCTTGAGATTCACTTGTGAAGTGATGAGGCTGCACCAGATAATCTCTACAATCCTTCACAGCACCCAAGTTCTGAAGTTCTAATTATATAGAAGGAGTACCACTTACACTTCGGTCATGGCAAAAGCTCTTGAAGAGTACATTGGTTCAGACTGACCTCATTTCACTTTAGGGCATTATAGTCTAGGGATGGTAGATCCAGAAAGAGAAGACTGCAGCATAACCAGCTGACCACGAGCTATTTCACAATATCCTCTCTAGTGTCTTGATTGAGAGAAATGGGAGGGGGTAGCTTTTGATGGATATGTGAAAGACTAGCTTTGTGTCTGTTTGAAAGATGTCCCAGGAGCATTAATTAATACATCAATGGCAATACTGAGGACAGAGGCTGAAGACAGCCCACAGGCTCTTTCCTTTTTCCTGCTCTGTTGCACAGATTTAGCAGTGTCTTGGATAAAGTTTAAGAGATAAAGATCATGGAATATATAGGTGACATGATGACAGGGGTATACCAGAGGACAGAACTAGAATTCAAGTGTCCTGACTAGCATGGAGACATTAACTGCATCCAAAATGGAAAGAAACAAGATAAGAGGAATAGAATGTCCAGAGATAGACCTATAATCCCAGTATGCAAGAATCTGAAGCAGGAGAAAATTGAGTTAAATGTCAACGTGGATTACATACTGAGACCTGCGTGAAAACAAAACTAAAAACTAATAAATTAATAAATGAATGTTGTGAAAATAGTAGCATTTTCCAACAGCAAAATTAGATATGTGTATGATCATGTGTATATTATGTTCATGTCTAGGCAAGCATTTTAGCTAATGTTAAGTCCAAAATAAAATGGTCATCCAGTATGAAAATTTACTGCAATCTGACATTTAGTTAGTGGAAATTTAACATGTAAAAATGAGGCAGGTGACACGTGGTTTCTAGTCAGTGCAGCCCCATCACAATTCTAATGTTTTAAGAGAAGAAGAAATAGTACAACATAATTTGAAACAAAAAAAAAAAAAAGGTTCCTAAGTGAAAGATCTGGAGAAGTAGGATACTTACTGAATAAACACCATGATTTTGATGACCAACTTTCTCCCACCCACTGTAAATCAGGATTACACACCTGTCTGATTTAATCCATCAATGCTAGAATGTCCATCGTATACATGTTTTGGTACCATTGTGTATTTCCATCATGATGTTAATGCTTCTATGAGAGGGTTATTGAATCTATTTTAATTTCTTCAACAGCTCTCATTTTCTAACTCAGAATGTATCCCCTGTAATAAATGTCTATGGATGCATTTTTTTTGCTCTTTAAAAATCCTTACTGTTGTGTGACAAGACCATATATATGCAAACGGTGGTTTCCATGTACCAATCACCTAGTGCCAAATAAACACACAAAGGCTTATATGAATTATAAATTCTTAGCTAGCAGGTCAGGCTTATTATTAACTAGCTTTTACACTTAAATTAACCCATATTTCTTATCTACATTTAGCCACTTGGCTTGGTACCTTTTCTCAGTATGGCATTCTCATCTTGCTTCCTCTGCATCTAGCTGGTGACTCCTGATTTTGCCCTTTTCCTTCCCATCATTCTTAGGTTGGTTGCCCCGCCTATCCTTCCTACTTGGCTACTGACCAATCAGCATTTTATTAAACCAATTTGAGTGACAAAACTATACAGTATTCAAGAGGATTATTCCATAGCACATATTGTTTGATTCGTTTAACCTGGCAGGTAAGAAAATGTATCAACAGTAAAGGAACAACCTACCTATGTACTATATGAACTTTTCCAGACATGGAATTTACCAACACCATAGATCATCAGGCAAAACTGGACATTTTAAGGACAAATTTTCAGAAGCCACTGGAGGCAGAACCCACACTACATATTCTATTTTTCCTGGGAAGCTGTAAAATCCGTTAAAACTTTATCCATTCCATAAAGTCTTTCCATAAAGTTAGTTCTTATTCAACAAAGCAAAAGATCCTCTGTCAAATATTCTCTGATCTTTCTTCTTGGACTTTACTCTGCTTGTTCCACTAACACATAGTGCCCCTCAGATGCTCTCTATAAAAATACCACCGTTTCTTCATAAAACCTCTCATATCTTCCTTTTGCTTAAGATGTTTAGTGAAAAAAAGAAGAAAAGAAAGACAGAAAAGGGAAACAAAGCCTAATCACTGCCTCCTCTGCATTTTTAAAAAAATACTAATACTTTCCTATTTTCTCACCAGTTTCTACCTGTTGTAACAGAGGCATTTGCCAATCAAACGAGCCACCAACTCAAAATAGAGGGAAAGTTTATATGTGCAGGTGAATAATCTGCCCATCAATCAAGGTACTTCCCTTTTGTACTATATTTTTACAGAACCTCTTAGTAACAACAGCACGATTAGATCTATTATTGAAATCTTTCTGATATGCCATTATCTGCCTATGAACACCAGAACTTCTATGGTATTATATTTTTCCTCTGTTCAAGTATGTGTAGAAATAAATGTGAAATTCTATTTTCTCCTTGCAGCACAACTGGAAAGCAAAATCTACCTACCTTGAAGCATTTTTGAAAACGAAGGGGAAAAAAATAAACAAATGTACAGACTAAAGAAAGCGAAAGGGATAACAGAGAGAAAGTGTTTGAAATGCCCATTAAGCCTCTAGGGTTGTGTAAAGATAAAAATCGCACATCCATCACATCATTTCAGTTGACATGTTTGTTTACTAATATGCTGCTTCTGTGCTGGCAGAAAAGAGCTGTGTCAGAAATCATGTTGTGATGTTTCTCATATCTCTTTTTGGAAATTAAAGAGTTTCATATAAAAAAATTATTTGGATGATTTAAGAATAAATGATTGAAAGAGAAGCATGTGGATGAAATTCTCCCTTGGAATGTACTTCATTTGTTTCAGAATATATGAGTGTCTAGAGGATGGACAGTGAAGTATTTTCTTTCTTTCAAGACTCTGAACGACTGTTTAGAGCCACCCACACCCCAGGCTACTCTTTCAGACCCTATGGTGCACTATGGTTTTAGAATTTTGTCTTCATTTTATCTTTTGATTGTCTTTCTTTTTTTTCCCTTTTATTTTATTTTACAATACTGTTCACTTCTACATATCAGCCACGGATTCCCTTGTTCTCCCCTCTCCTGCCCCCCTCCCCTTCCCCCAGCCCATCCCCCATTCCCACCTCTTCTAGGGCAAAGCCTCCCCCCAAGGACTGAGATCATCTGGTAGACTCAGTCCAGGAAGGTCCAGTCCCCTCCTCCCAGACTGAGCCGAGGGTCCCTGCATAAGCCCCAGGTTTCAAAACGCCAACTCATGCAATGAGCACAGGACCCAGTCCCACTGCCTGGATGCCTCCCAAACAGATCAAGCCAATCAATTGTCTCACCTATTCAGAGGGCCT